AAGCGCATTATGATATAACTGTTGAAACTCATATATTGATAAATGTGAAGCGCATTATGATATAACTGTTGAAACTCATATATTGATAAATGTGAAGCGCATTATGATATAACTGTTGAAACTCATATATTGATAAATGTGAAGCGCATTATGATATAACTGTTGAAACTCATATATTGATAAATGTGAAGCGCATTATGATGTAACTATTGAAACTCATATATTGATAAATGTGAAGCACATTATGATATAACTATTGAAACTCATATATTGATAAATGTGAAGCGCATTATGATATAACTATTGAAACTCATATATTGATAAATGTGAAGCGCATTATGCTATAACTATTGAAACTCATATATTGATAAATGTGAAGCGCATTATGCTATAACTATTGAAACTCATATATTGATAAATGTGAAGCACATTATGATATAATTATTGAAACTCATATATTGATAAATGTGAAGCGCATTATGATATAACTATTGAAACTCATATATTGATAAATGTGAAGCGCATTATGCTATAACTATTGAAACTCATATATTAGCAAAATTAACATTATTATTCCTTGACATTGTTTTAAGGATGTCATAAGCTACTACACAATAATGCACTACTATCAGACAAACGTCCATCCTAGGAAAATCTAGGTAAATATGTAAAATGTGTACATGTGTTGATACAATGTATTGGTAATAACAGTGCATAGTCTAATGTCATATATATCACGCTTTATCTCACGAATGAAAAAAGTCCTAAAACAGCCAATCTACTTGATTTGCATAAGGGGTTCACAATGCTCAACACCGAGGGCGCTGTTTTAATACGATAGCCATGACGCATTGAATAAAACGAAATTTGTTTTACACTAGCGCCCTCTATAATCCATCCACACAAAATTTATTTAATACAATGTACGAACAAATATTGTCAACCTAGAGTTCAACGTTGACTATTTAGCAATGTATACAGTTAACATGTAAATTAATGATAGTCTAATGCCTGTGTTTCCCATTCTTTTTCTATGCGATTTGGTGTTTTAGGTTTTTATTAATAGTTTGGCCCTTATTGAAACTAGAAGCGGTGTTTCGAGCGTATTTAGATATGATGTAATCGTCGTGCCGCGTCGTGATCGATATGGGACCCATGGAGACGTATACAACGCATGTAAAATAATACATTGTTTACATGAAATTTGAACATGCACTGCGCGACGACTAACGCTCTTTAACTATAGAGAGTACATCCATTGAAGAATGTGTTAGGATGACATATATAAAATAGAAACAAGTTAATTTCGACATCGGAATTTCAAAAATATCGAATGAACACTTTTTTAGTAACCCATTGCATAATGTTCCAACAATCCCTGCACCTGGACACGACCAAGTTTTCTTTCGTATTTCAGAAGCCATGCTATAGCAAGTTTAGGGTTAATGTGTAATTTTCTGCAGCAGAGTACCACTAGCGGCACAAGTTGTAACTTGTGTGTTGATATATAAGCAGAGTTGAAGTGTCACGTACACACATAAGGAGTGGAATTCGGTTGTCTGCAGTTGAAAATCACATTTTCACTTTATTCAATTAAAAATATCTAAGACAATAGTTCCTGGCAACACTTTTTTACAAAATTATTCAGTGACAAATGTCAAAAATACTAAACCATTAACTTAGACATTGACTTGTTTTCCATCTATTCATTGAAGATACTTGTAATACGGCAATCTGCCATTTTGTGGAATATGCTTTTTCACCACCCGTGAATGTAGATAGAGTGTGGCTGGTAAGATATCGCAACTTTAGTATCACGTGGCACTTTTGTCTGAGTACGACCCACTCTAATTACTGAAATGTTCCGAATATTTATCTATCTAATTAATTAATGAATGGCAGGTAAATGTTTGATTTGAAAAATCGCAAAATCCTGAAAAAGTTGCATTCATTTTGTTCATTTTTGTTCACGTGACGGAGAATGTGAGCGTTATGAACTGCGAATGAGGCTACAATTGGTGACGTAATTGGATAGAAAAGCACGCGCTTTCTCTACAATCAAACACTTACACAGATACGTACAATAACCATATCCATAATCAGATCAATTTGAAAATATCTATGAATTACTAATATATGATAGCTTCTTGTTTACTGTTACAACAAATATAAATCAATTGTAATCATATTTATTATACGAAATAAATACTAGTAAAAGATATATTTAAACATATAAAACCATAAATATAAACTATGGCAGCGAGCACTGGTAGAATAGTTAAAGGGCGGTAGTCGTCGAGCCACGCATGTGCGAGATATATGGGTCTCATGTGAACAAAGATGGCGACTTTGACTGTAGCGCAGACCAACGAGTACAAACTGAGACGTTACCAAGTTTTAATTAGGTATTTTTTTAGGTGACTGGAAGGTATCGAAGGAGTTATTGGTGGTAATTAGCACAAGTCGCGCCCAGGTCAAACCTCATACTTGTGATTTCAATTAGAAGAGCGCATTGGATTGTGGGAATATCAATGTTTATCAACACAATTGTCGCACATGCGCAGCGCAACGACTACCGCCATTTGAATGACATCTGCTTAAAATTAGTTTGAATTGTTTTAAGATAATCAGGGAATCTAATTGTCTTCACTAATAGTACATATGTATTGTTTTAAACACTATTACATAATACACTAATATGTTAATTGAACACATTCCATATATGTACGTTTACGTGTTATTTTCACTTCACAGACAAGCACTCAATTATATGGACTTTTAAAGTACAGTAATCAGATTAAGGCAATGCATTGTTTCTATAAGTCACCATGACAGCAAGGCGTGTTGATAAGTAATTGGATGCAAGTAACTGAACTAATCAGCTCACATCGGATATTCTGACGTCATAGCAGCGCTCTGTAAATAGAGGAAGATATGTTCAACGTGTATAAACGAAACGTTATAGTGTGTTACTCTGTTTTTAGATTTGCCAATTTTGGTTTACGAGATTAATGTACCCACACCTACCAAATATGCAATAATTTGACTAAAAATCAAGGTACGAATATTCACGGAATGTTTTGAATGGTGTTCCAGTAAACTACCTGCATCTGGTTATTAATTACATTGCATATATGTCACATTCTAATTAGATGTTCTTTGCATCTTCTCCAATTCACGTCGGGTAGCGCTCAATTGCTCGGCTAATTCATAGGTCTCCTTCTCAAGTGCAGCTGAAAAGAAAAGAAATTCATCAAATTATTCATGTTATAATACAGTTGATAAAACAAGTATATGCCATAATATTGCTATTAAACAAGTATATGTCATAATACTGATATTAAACAAGTATATGAGTATATGTTATAATACTACTATTAAACAATTATATGTCGTAATACTGCTATTAAACAAGTATATGTCGTAATACAGCTATTAAACAAGTTTATGTCGTAATACAGCTATTGAACAAGTACATGCCATAATATTGCTATTAACAATTATATGTCGTAATACTGCTATTAAACAAGTATATATCGTAATACTGCTATTAAACAAGTATATGTTATAATACTGCTATTAAACAAGTATATGTCGTAATACAGCTATTAAACAAGTATATGTCATAATACTTCTATTAAACAAGTATATGTCGTAATACTGCTATTAAACAAGTATATGTCATAATACTACTATTAAACAAGTATATGTCGTAATACAGCTATTGAACAAGTATATGCCATAATATTGCTATTAAACAATTATATGTCGTAATACTGCTATTAAACAAGTATATATCGTAATACTGCTATTAAAAAAGTATATGCCATAATACTGCTATTAAACAAGTATATGCCATAATACTTCTATTAAACAAGTATATGTTATAATACTGCTATTAAACAA